CTCTTCCTTGACAGCCCAACGCCTTATCAGAGATAAATGCTACTTTCTGCATCCACAAAACCAAATATCATCAGCCCAAGAGCAGGAAAGTTGGAACCTTTTTTTGAAAGATCCATCCACCCTCACTTGTGAGGCAGTTTGCAGCTGCCAAACTCAACAGTGTAAGCTGTTGTAAAGTTTGCTCCTCTTCTTGGCATTCAATTCCCAGCTTAATCTAGAAGAAATCCCCTAACCGCGTTTTAGTTTTCAAAGCAAACATACTTTGGCATTAAGACCGGATGATCCACTATTCCATAGTTGCAGCCCAAAACGCTGGAGTTAATGGCTGCCATTGCTACAAAATTTTGGGACTAATTCTTTTCTATGGATAGTGAAGCTTATTTTTCTCTATTACTTTTTTCTTCTTGCACAGTTGTTATCTAAAATAAATAATTATTTTAACTGAAAACAAAACATTAAGAATAGAAGTATGAAATAATTATTTAACTAAAAACAAAACATTAAGAATTAAAGTGTTTCATACGTTCATTTCCATGTATATATCATGATCATGGGTAGAAATATAATAAAATCTTGGATGGTATGTGATGAACCATGTTTTATAATATTTTGATATAATAATTTAAGGTAAAATGTTTTTGGACTTGAATTAAATTTGTTCAAAGTTTTCAAAACTAATTCAAAGTCCATTAAAAATAGAATTTGAGCACAAAAATGTTTTATGGGTACATAGTATCGATATTGTTCTTACAGTATCGATACTGCATGAATAATACCGATATTGTTCACATGAAACTGATATCAAAGATAAGATAAGTATCGATACTACCACATGTTTTTCAACTTGCTCAAATTCCAGAATGCAAAATAGATACCGATACTACTTTACATAGTAGTATCGATACCATGAGCATAGTATCGATATTGATCAAGCTCAACGACTAGTTGATTTAAATACTATAAAGGAAGTATCGATACTCATTAAAGGAGTATCGATACTCCCTGTCCTGAGAAGTTTTATTTTGCAAAAAAATTATCCCTAACGGCTCCAAGTCATCCCCAACGGCTAGAAATGACCACAAACACATTCCATCTTATAAAAACAAGTTAAGGACACTTGAAGAAGGATTAAATCACCTATCCAAACAAACAAAAGAGAAGAGCTTTTTACTCTTATTTTTCTTTCTCTTGTAAATATTAGCGTTTTAGTGAACTTAATTTTGTAAACACCTACCGTGTGAGGTTTTCTTGTTTACATTTCTTATCCTTTGTAAAAGGGGAGTGGTTCTATCTTAGCCATTGAAAATATAGGTATTTGTAAAGGTTATCTCTTTATCATGTGAAAAAGAAAGAACAAATTAGTGAATTTGTTAGAAAATCCTTGGTGAGGAGTTAAAGTAGTGGATGTAGATTTTGGTTGAGAAAGTCGAACCACTATAAATCTTTGTGCATCTATTTTATTATCCTTAAATCTCCTTAATTCTTAAATTTTATTCAAATCCACTTCAAACCCCTCTTGGCAATTATTCGGTTGATCATTAAGCTTCAATCTAAATCCCAAAAATTGGTATCAGAACTTGACTCATTAGAAGGTTTAACAACCTTGAGATGATCCTTTAAGAAGTTCTATCGATTCCAGAAGCAATCGAGAATATGGCTTCTACCTCCGGCTCTTATTACATTGAAGACTCTCAACCGATCAATAAGCCACCTTATTTCAATGAAGCAAATTATGTCTATTGGAATAATAGGATGATGCTCTTCATTCAAGCCAACGATTTAGGAGCTTGAAACTCAATCATTAAAGGATGCTCCATTCTAACCGATGAGACAGATGATTGGAGTGATAGAGAGAAAAAGAAGTTCCAACTCAATGCAAAGGATATGAACATTTTATTTTGTCAATTAGGCCCGGATGAATATGGAAGATTCTTCTCTTGTTCTAATGCCAAGGAGATTTTAGGACAAGCTCTAAGTTACTCATGAAGGAACCAATGAAGTGAGGAAAACCAAAATCAGTTTTCTCAACTATGAGAATTTCAAGATGAAACCAGATGAAGTCATCAAAGCTATGACGAATAGATTTTTCGCGATTGTCAACGGTCTAAAGGGATTTGGAGAAGTTATCCTAATGAGAAGCTTGTGAGGAAGATTATTTATTCTTTTCCAAAGTCTTGACAATCGAATAAGACGTTGATTATCGAAGCTAAGAACCTAAAGACTTTCACTCATGAGTTGATGGTAAAAGAAGAAGAAGACTAAGAAAAGAAAAACAAGAAGAATGAGGTATGCATTGTCTTCAAATCCACCATTAAGAGTAATCAAAACTCAAGTGAAGAGGTGGATGAAGATGATGATGAAGAAGAAGAGATAGTCAAGCTCTTCAAAAGATTCAATAGATTCATGACTTCCAAGGAAGTGAAACATGAATCAAGTAAAAAGAAGAGTCCACCGGTGTGCTTCGAATGTCAAAGAACGGGGCATGTCAAATATGAGTATCCCCTCTTAAAGAAGAAGGGGTCAACTAAGAAAAAGACATTTGTAGCAGCTTGGAGTGATGAAGATACTCTAATGATGAAGATGAAGTAGCCAACCTATGCCTCATGGTCATCGAAGAAGATTCAATTGTAACTTATAACTCTAGTGAATTAGATTCTTATTCTTTTGACGAGTTACAAGTTGTCTATGATGAATTGTATTTGGAATTTGAGACCATGAATTCCAAATATAAGAAATTGATTTCAAAATTCAAAGTTGAAATGATTTTCTCTTGAAAACAAAATTGGACTTTGAAAAGCAAAATGAAATTTTGAAAAATAATTTTGATATTTCAAAAACCAAATTTAAAGATTTGGAAAAAGAAAATTTTGATTTGAAGGTTAAGCTTGAATGCTTAACAAAGAAAAAGAAATTATTTCTAAAAACAATTCATCTATGTTAAAAATGACAATGTGAGAAATGACAAAATGTTCACATTGTCATTTTCATGGTCATTTGAAAAATACTTGTCTTATAAAGAAAAGAAAATCTTTTAAAATTATACAAGTATGGGTTCCTAAGGGAACAAGGGGCATTGAAACTAATGTTCAAGTATCCAAAGCAATCTGGATACCAAAATCAAATAAATGGCTCTTGTAGGTGTGTGGGAGCAATGGTGATGAAAGTGGAGATACTCAAAATGCTCTAGTCACATTTGAAAAGGAATGAGAAACCTCTAAGCCTATTTTGATTATCTTGATTAATTGGTTGCATATTTGTTAAGCATGCATGAGTGTCGATTTTAAATAATTTTATGTTTTTTATCTCATGTATGTTGAAAAGAATATTATGATAGACATTTTAAAGTTTTAATGATTTTTCATAATTTTTAGTTCATCATAATGAATTTTGGTCAAAATTGGTTTTAAATGCAAATTGTATCTCTCTAACAATTGATATCAATTTTTCAAATGCTTTGTTTTTACAAATTTTTAATTTTTGACCTTAATTTAAATGTTTATGCATGTGATTTATTGCAAATGATATCTCTCTAACAATTGATATCAATTTTTCAAATGCATAACTTTTTTTGATAGATTTATGCACATGCACTTAAATACAACAATTGGTATTGCATAAAGTTTATTAGACTTTGATATATTGAATTTCTTGTGCTACTAACATGTTTCTTCATCTCTGTTGACATTCAATTTTTTAAGTGTCTAAGTTTTTTAGCTAAATTTTTGTTTGGAATGCTTTTATTGAGGGGGAGCTTTGGTTTTTCAGATGAATTTTATGCTAAAATTTACCACTTACTCTCTATTGTTATTTTTGAACTTTAAAGATGAATTATTTTTATATAACAAAAATGAGGATAAATATAGGTTTGAAAAATCAATTTCTCAATGAAAAATGAGGAGCTTTAACATTTTTCAAAATATATATCTTTTTTATTAAATATTTTATTAAGGACAAGTTTTGCCAAAAACAAATTTTCAAATGTTTTGCTATATCAAAAAAGAGGGAGATTGTTGAACCATGTTTTATAATGTTTTGATATAACAATTTAAGGCAAAATGTTTTTGAACTTGAATTGAATTTGTTCAAAGTTTGCAAAAATAATTCAAAGTCTATTAAAATAGAATTTGAGCACAAAAATGTTTTTTCTGGGTACATAGTATCGATACTGTTCTTACAGTATCGATATTGTTCACGTGGTATCGATATCAAAGTAAGATAAGTATCGATACTCTCAAGGTAGTATCGATACTACCACATATTTTTCAACTTGCTCAAATTTCAAAATGCAAAATAGGTATTGATATTCAAAGAGGTGCCGATACTACTTTACATAATAGTATCGATACCATGAGCATAGTATCGATACTAATCAAGCTCACGGCTAGTAACGACTAATTGATTTAAATACTATAAAGGAAGTACCGATATTCATTAAAGGAGTATCGATACTCCCTGTCCTATCAAGGTTCTTTTTTTTTGCAAAAAAATTATGTCCAACGACTCTAAATCATCCCAAACATATTTTATCTTATAAAAACAAGTTGACGACACTTGAAGAAGGGTTAGAACACCTATCCAAATAATCAAACACAATAGAAGAACTTTTTACTCTTATTTTTATTTCTCTTGTAAATATTAGTATTTTAATGAGCTTAATTTTGTAAACACATACCTATGAGATTTTTTTGTTTATGTTTTTTATCATTTGTAAAAGGAGAGTTATTCTATCTTAGCCATTGAAAAGATAGTGATTTGTGAAGATTATCTCTTTATCCTATATAAAAAAGAATAAATTAATAAATTTATTAGAAAATCTTTGATGAAGAGTTAAGGTAGTGGATATAAACTTTATTTGAGAAAGTAAAACCACTATAAATCTTTGTACATCTATTTTCTTATTCTTAAATCTCTTTAATCCCTAAATTTTATTCAAATCCACTTCAAATCCCAACAATGGTTAGCCGTTAAACTTCAAATCAAGTGCCTTGGAAGAAGGGCTATGGCTACTGAACTATTTTTACTCTTGAAAATCATGAATTAACAACGTTATTGCAATTACTTCGATGATTCAGAAGAAGACAGTTTCATATTCCTAAGCCCCAACAACAATAAGAATCAGCTATTCTACAGCATGTTATAGAAACAGTGACATCTCAGGAGATGGAATGAAGGAGAGAATGCCTTCACCAAGCAGTTCGAATAATGTTACCAACGTATGTCCAGAATCCAGGTCATCCTTCCAAATTTGATTCAGGATCACAGACTTCTTCAACATTTTACCATCTTTTCCAATTCTCTTGGCCATCTTTTCAGACGAGCCGGCATCATTCTGACTTGATAATGCAAGTGTTGTTACGGATGACAAGGAGTTGGCCGAAACCAAGCTGCCAATTGGGCCATCGGCTGCTATTTTCTTCAAGGCTGGTTCGTCTTCCAAGGGCTCCATGTTCGCCTTACGTTTATCTTCAACATTTAACACAAAGCAAGAATGTTATTTAGAGCTGAACCTCCAGATATAAGATAAAAGGCCAGGCATCAAGCATTTCCAATTTGCTTGCTCAAAAGTGTTTCCTTGGGGTTACTAATGCAGCAATGAATACAAAACTAAGCATGGTATCTAGCCACCTTGACGCCCTAATTGAATAATTTATCAATGAAATCAATCAAAGAATATATGGAAGCAAAAAGATGAATTAAAAAAAACCGAGCTAAATATATAAGCCAGAACTTTATATTTGCCCCCTTTGACCAAAATCCAAAAATTCGTCCCTGCTTAGGGTACCTTTTATTTTATTTCATTTTGTTCCCCTAATATTATTTAATGTTTACCGTGCACCATTTGTGCAGTCCATCATTAGAAATTTGAATTCACACAACTTTGGAGGGTTAAACATCCATGAATAGGAACATCTTAGAAAAAGGAGGATATCTTACTTGGAACTGCAGTAACAACTTTGTCTTTGGACTTCCAGATAGCATGGCCTGAAGGTGATGGTAAAGGTGGAAAGATTTTGAGGCGCTCATATATGCCTTGACCTGCTGCACGCTGGCAAGTGCATGCTTGTGTCAAAATTCCAGTGTTCAATATGAAGACCTAAACAAGAACAATACTCACCAGTAAGGCACCATAAACACGCCATGCTTCATATCTCTTCATCTCATTCTTTTGCTTCTCTAGTAGCAACTCTGGTTCAAGGAGTCGAAGGTATGGCTCAAGATTTGGCAGAATAAGAAGACGAACCTACTCATGGAGTAAGATGTTTGGTAAATGAATAATATTACTAGAATAGCAACAAAATGCTCAAAACACAAACAGAAAATGCTTGGAAGTAAAATCTTGAAAAAGGAGTTGAAAGACAATAAAAGCTTTGTATTATTGCATAAAAGGCACCAGCCACTTTTACGGAGAGATGTATATCCCTTGTATTGTTCTCACCATGCAAAAAGTAAACTTAACATGTACTGAGTAAATGAAATATGAGGACATACCACATTCGGTCCTAGGGCTGCCAACCCTTGAATTGCACCATAGTGTTGAGTCAATGACCGTTTTGGGTCCAGAAGTGCATTGAGTAAAGTTTTTGTAAGACGTGTCTGAAGGGTGTTATAAACATGGCCAAATCTGCAACAATTTTTAGAACCTAAATTTCAAGTATAAGATTGACCCAAAATAAAATATGAAGAAAACTAAATGGAGAGTATCGGTATGAAAGTCGGCAGCAGTGATCAGCATATCAGATAGAAAGATCATTAACATCAAATTTACATTTTAACAACATATATAAATGCACATAACATTTAACAACATATACAGTGATCAGCATATCACATGACACGTTTTTTAAGAGGATCACATTTAGTAGTCAAAGCAGAATAGGGATTTTTTTTCTTGCACCAAAACGGAAAGGTTTTTGGATGACACAAAATCTCAGGGGCAGAGCTGTGTCAACAGACCAGAGAATCAGGGCAATGCCCAATCCAATGAAATTTAGTGATTACCACCTTCTCAAACCTTAGTGACAAAATTGACAATTATTGAACTACATAATATAACTCCATTGCTCACATATTGCTAGAGACAAATTTTTTAACAGCTATGCAAAATTGACAGGAAGTCGGAAGAAAAAAATCCAGCTCAAGACATTTTATTCAAATGCAAAACAGGAAACAGATTAGAAGTTTTACCTTTTGCATATTGAAGCAACTAACTTTGCTGTAAAATCTCTAAGTTCCCAGTGGTTGTCAGCAATCCTGTTCCCCAATTTTTTTGAAACAAGGCAGGTTACTACAGATGGCATCAATTGGTGTAGCTGGCAAGACAAGGAAAGAGTATGGTCCTTAGTTTAAAATTGGTAAATCCATGATAGATCAAACTCCATACAGAACTACGACAAGAGCATGATTTGATTGGCAAACCAGTAGGTTGAAATTGAAGTTTGTTTAGTTGAGTTAGAAAAAGATTGATCAATTTTAAATCCTTGATGAACATATTTGTTATCGATATATAAATCCAATAGGAGAAATATAAACTTACATAAGGTTCTATGTGTATGTGGGGATTCTGGAGAAGACTCCAAACGACACGCATTAAAGCAAATAGAAGAGAATAATCATTCAAACCACGTGAAACCTGATATTGTTGGTGAAAGGAACAAAGTAAGTTAGCAGCAAATGTATAAATGCCCTTGTTCATCTGAATTGATATTCTTGCTTTAAATCCAAAAATTATTACCTCATCAGCTACAAAGAAAGTGAAATAAGGAACTAATGGATGAAGTCCTGAATCTGTAGCCAAACTCACTAATGCTTCTTTAAACAGGGCTGAATCAGACTTTCTCAAAGTGAGCTCTGTGATTTTGTCGAAGTAGAACTGCAATAGAAAGAATAATAAATAAATAAAATATTAAAAATATATAATACATAATGTCAATGGTAAACTATATACCTGAAGCTCTCTAGATAGCACATGCTTAACAGGTAATTTAATGTCAACCGGAAGTTCATCCTTTTGTTCGTAAGTATTGCCATTAGGAGCAGCAGCAATTACTACAGATAAAATAAGTCAAAACAAAGTATTAGCACCTGGATTAGGCCAGTAACCCTGTATCATGAGAAATTTTCAGAAAGTATTGTCAAACAAATTAATAGGAATAATTGTGGTAACCTAATACCAGAAACAACTACAGAAAATCATAGTTGCAACATGCTGGAACCTTAAAAAATTAGACAAAGATGAGAAAATAATGCACATATGCCAAAAATGCTTGGCCTTTACAGCTCATTAAGGTAAAAATAAACTCATATTTTCAATGATCTATGCCGAAAAACCAAAGATTATAAAAGGTCCAGATCAAATTTGTGATAAGTAACAGTAACTACTGCTAATGTCTCTAAATTTAGACAAACCTCCCACAGGAGCATTTTCTGGAATGGCAGGTTGTACTCCTTCGATAGCGAGCCAGTGACAAACAACTCTGGTATCAAGTGGTGCTTTTGGTAAAGGAGCCTCAATTACCTACATGTTGAGAGAAAAGACAACCTGGAACTTCAGCAAATACCCAACCAATTTTAGCTCAAAGCGAAGTTAATGTAACCTCAGGTTTCTTACTTCTTTCAAATCCACATCCCTATCATCAATGTAAAACAAATCCCTATGCCCAATTGCCCTTTTGAACTGCAAAGGACCTCCAGATGTAAAGCCATATACGGGCTGAGGCAAAAAAAAAGAAGCAAGATTGAGACTAAAAGAAAACAATTTTTTTCTGAAGTGCATCAGAAAAGTGTTTTATTCATCATCATCATATGCAAATCACTATATTCTCAATCAATATTGAGATCACACACGGCCTTTTCAAACAAAAAAACCCAGCACTAGAAATTTATGCTACAAGCCAATCCCATACAGCTATTGAATACAAGTTAAAATTTCCCCTCGCAGCAGTTTCCAACAGAAATATGATTAGAGTGCACCATATTAACAGAAACATTCCAATTGAAACAGCTTGAATCTTCAAAGTTAGAATATCCAAATTAGAGAGAAGAATATCTCAAAACAAGACATTTATTTTTCTTTTTCGTGGTTTTACCTTAAAAACACATGCACCGCGCGCGCACGCACAAAAACGAAAGTAAGATGAGCATATATACAAACAATGAAATTAGGACTAGTATATAAACAAGCTCAGAGTACATGAAGCTGTATTGATGCCAAATAACCTCAACGTTTCTTAAGTTAAGTGCACCATCAACATCATCTGTAGTTAATACGGTTCTCCTCGAGTGACGCATACATTTGACGGCCTCCTGAAATATCGGGAAAAAAACGTAAAATAAAAAAAAATACAAGAATCACAGTGACACACTGCTATTTCACTTCAATTTTTATAATTTTATGCTAGTTTCCTATACTTTAAAAGAAGGGAAGCATAGATCACCACCTAGTAAGGTTTAAAACCCTAACAGAAACAACAAAACATAGACGAAGAATTGAGAAGCAAAACCTACTTTCCTAGGGAAGAAGGAAGCATTAGAGTTGAATATGTTTTTTGTTTGTAAAAGAAAAGGGACCTGCAGAATCTCGCGCATGCGGTACTCGACATCGGGAGCAAGAGAAAGGGCAGCGTCATCTGACAAATTGTTTATGCCAATGCTTTGAGCTATAACCTCGATCGTCTCCTTTGCCACTATGCTCATTTTCTTCTTCTTCTTCCTCGTCGTCGAATTTACAAAATTTTCATTTTAAGTTATCTTTTTTCCTGAGTCTTGTTATTGATTGTTGCCCTCAAGGGGATTGATAGAAAACTTTCACTCTCGCCGAGCTTCGGGAATTTTGCATTAAAGAAACAAAAAGGGGGCGGGGGAGGGATCAGTCGGGTTTAGTTTATCGGGTGACCCGAATTGTTTCTACTGGGCTGCATATTTTGCCTTCTGATTTTGGAGCTCTATAATGGGCTTTTACCAAATGAGGCCCATTATATAGTAAGAGATTCGAATTTTAACTTGGATAAAAATCATTTGGGTAAACTATACTACCGGTCATCAAACTATTATAAATTTTGTATTTAGTTACTGAATGTTTTTTTTCACAGAAACATCACTAATGTAACATTATTTATTTGATCACGGACATGTAAAAATGAATCGAAATGATGACATGAGTCAAAATTTTATATATTCTATCAAGTAAATCTTAATTCAAAATAACTCGTCACATATTTAGGCTAAAATCCAATTCTCTAATCTTATTTCTCTTTCCTCCACAACACTTTTTTTTGTTCCCTCTTCTCATCCATTTATTCATGCAATTCAATTAGTCATGAACGAATCAATGCTTAATAGAATTTTTTTCATTGGGTCTCAAGAATTTTGATCTATATTGTAAAGATTCAGGATTTGAGCTTTTAAGGCCAAGTTCGAATACTACCACCGTCATTCTTGGTGGACAATCTGTAAAATCCTATATAAATCTCAATTGGGTCTTAGGTATACCCTGACCCTGGACTGGGGAGCCATCCTTGGCCTCAACTTTTTGTAACAAAAAAAAAGATTTTTGAAATTGATTGCTTAAGATACTATTTTCAGGATATATTTATTATGAATTATTTTTCTAACACAATTACTTACTTGCATAAGTTGCATTGCTAATATATATATCCTCTATAATATGCAACTCTTCTACCTACAAGAATTTTACTTATTTTTTCCTTCCTCCGTCTATCATCTCTTTATTTCTTATTTAATCTCATTATTGCCTTTGAGGTGAAAACATTAGTCCTTCATTGAGAGACACAATATTTTATATTGAAAAATTGATATTTGTATTGAAATTTGTTGATGAATGAAGGGATTTTGATGATACGATAAAGAAGAAAAGTTAATGAATGATGAATCATTTGATAGATGGGCTTTTTAGCAAAGTGATAATAATAATGTTGAAAGCAAGAAAAAAAGATAACTTATAATCATTCTTAGAGTGAGGATTATAATATATTAAATGATTAGGTTGATAAAATTTTAAAATATTAAGGTTAAATTTAATCAATTGTTTTTAGTTAAGATTAAATTGATAAAATATATAAATATTGAGATTAAAATTATTATTATACCAGATTATATCATTATCCTATTCATTTTTAAAATGAGTAATGACCAAAATAGAAAAAGTAATATTAGTTATGATTTTGTCAAAAAAAAAACGATTTGTGACCAAAGTAAAAAATGATAGTAGCTTGGTGACTAAGTTGTGTATTTTACTCAAAATATTTTAGGAATGTAAGCCTTCCCGAAACGCAGTGTTTTCCATCAAAAGCTTAGGACAAATCTGTGGAACTGATAAAACTCGGTTAAACCCACTCGTTTTTCCTCGCTCATAGCTCAATTTTCAAAAAAGAAAAAAGAATGCAAGTTTCTCTCCCCATTTCACCCTCCAAAATCCCCTCAATTTTCCCATTCCACCACCGCATCTCCCCCCTCAACAACCCCACAAGAACCTAACTTTCCAAACCCAAGCCAGCCCCTTTAACTCCCTCAAAACCGCCGGCTATTTGTCCTCCATAAGCCGTGCCATAGATGAAGAAGAAGATTACCGCAAAGCTAGAGCTGCTGTCACGAGAAAGGGTATTGAAATTGAAGGCTACTTCATTGAAGGACTCTCTATTGGCGGCCATGAAACCTGTGTCATAATTCCTGAATTGAAGTCTGCTTTTGACATCGGGAGGTGCCCGTCTCGTGCTATTCAGCAAAATTTCGTTTTCATCACTCACGCACATCTTGACCACATTGTAAGTTCCATAATTTGGCCAAAAGATGGTGTTTTTGGTTAGCTCAAAATTTTAAGTTCTGGGTATTAGTATAAGTGTATAACCTCATTTGGTGTTTACTGGCTCAGGGTGGGCTGCCGATGTATGTAGCTAGCCGTAGTTTGTACAACTTAAAGCCTCCGACAGTATTCGTACCTCCATGTATTAAAGAAGATGTGGTGAAGCTGTTTGATATTCACAGGACAATGGGAAATGTGGAACTCAACCTTGACTTGGTCGCACTTGATGTTGGTACGTTGGTTTCATCACAAGTTTATTTGTTTTATTTTTCATGTTTTTTTCCCTTTAAGACTCCATTGCTGCTTTGATCTCAGCTCCGTGATCTGAAATGACACAGATGTTTTCCTTCGTGATAACATGTGCACGTAAATTTCGGAGGAAAAAAACCCAAGAATCTATATCTTGTCCTTCGACAAGAGCAAAAGCAACTGGAAGAATGTTGCGATTTCCATCTTGGACAACTGCCAATAATAAAACTTGCTTGTATTTTCCAAACAAGAAAGTCCCGTCGATCTGGACCATAGGCTTGCAGTATTTGACAGCATTAACGCACTGTGGGTAAGTCCAAAAAACCGGTAGAATTGGCATCGATAGTGGAGAACTCGATCATTATGGTATGTATAGGAGGTTTTGAAGTCCACAATTGTCCCAGGATTCAACCTCCGCACCAGCCTAAACCAGCCTGGAAGTTCATTGTAAGATGCATCTCATTCGCCATGAAGTTTGACAATGGCATTTTGTTTTGCCAACCAAGCTTTTTTATAGGAGGCAGTGTACCCATACTGCGATTGTATAACTGAAATCAACACAGCAACAACTATATGAGAGCTTGCTTTTACCATGGGCATGATGGCTTGACATATCACTTCAGAGTCCAAGTTGGGATGATATTGGTTGACCCCTCCAGCACAACATGTGTGAGGACCGTTGTATACTGTTAGTTTCCATCTGTTGTTTTTCCTCTTCCTCTTCGATACAAGAACAATCCAACTGCATCCGTTTTCACGTCGGGCACAGTAGTATACATATTTTTCGGTCATAGAGCGGTCGACTCTGGACTGAACAGAATTACGGATATTGTAATTTTTAATAGCCATCATCGCTTCTTCCTTGCTTGAAAGCTCCATGCCTCAAGATAACTCACCATTATTTATTGATGAGTAATATCCATAGTCACCAAGATGAGGCATATCCGTAAATTCTGGCCCGTACGTTGCATCATAATCAGCTTCATACATGTGTGTTGGAGGGTCAGTTTGTGCCACATTTACTGGAACTTCATCTACATCATCATCACCATCGGAGTTGAATTGTGGTGATTCTAGGTGAATGAATAGTCCAGTCTCAGCACCATTCGCACCAGGCTCACGAAGCGGTTCTTCTGGTGGAGATGATGGTTCCTCCATGATCTCCACATTTAGGTCGAAGAACCTACTTTTGGCACACCTTCCCCTTGAACTAGAAGGCATATCTAGATTGAGATCGAAAAAGCTCGCATTCGAATGCCTCCCCTGGAGCTTGAAGCCATCGTGTCAAATGGAAACTGCACAGATTGTTGCGTCGATGACATCTCCGTATTAAGGTCAAAGAAATTTGCAGATGAATGCCTTCCCCTCGAACTGGACATGATGTTTCCATACGGATTATTCGTGGACCCACCTCGGTACATATCGTAAGGAGTTGCGGATGAATGTCTCCCCATTGAAGTTGATGTGCCGACACCATGATGTGGATTTCCCATTATGGCATTAAAATCATTACACATTACTGTAGTCGGGCTGTCAACTTGATCAACTTGTTCAGCCAGCCGATAGTGTGAGCTTAATGGCTGACCCCAAATAGCACGCACTTGAACAAACTTTGCATACATCTCAATATCGCCGTCTGAATAATTACTTTGAGAATCAGTCGTCATTTCAACATCATCATTGTTCGATAGTTCGAACGCTGTATAAATTAATGGCAACAATGATGTTGGAAATTTGTATTGCAACGACGACATTCTTCTACTACTTCCAACATGAACCTTCTTCGAAATCTTCGTTATCAGCTCCTCAAGATTTATGTTTCTCTTGAATGATATTTTAACACGCTCATTTGATACGAATACAACGCCAGTTTCATCTTCTCAAATTTCTCCATCATAATAAACAATAGCTGAAAGTCGCATCATTCTTAGAATTTAAAAGTGCAACAATATTATATCTGCAAAAAAAACTGAAACAATCCTAATTAAATAAATAATATATGACCAAAAATATAATAGAATAATTTTTTTACACATAAATGTAAATAATTTAAATAATATAATTTTATATTATTACATGCACTGCAAAAATATTTCGACATATGCTCCCACTTTCTAATTCTACAAACACAGAAATTAATTGAAAACAATTAGTATAATATTTTTTTAAATAATCATAAATTACTATAAAATAAATATTATAACAAAATTACCTTATAACAAAGATCGAGCAAACTTATGAATCAAATATAAGATGATTGTCGGATGTTATTTACTTATTCAAAGGATTGTTGGCGAGAGAGTTTACGGGAGACGACTATTTATAGTCGAGAGAGGATGCCTTAAAGCCGGAAAATAATGCAAGGCGCGACCCTTGCCCCACGCCTTGGATTATGCAGAGATAATTGAATAGCGCGGCCCTTGCCCCACGCTTTATCTTACGTGGCGTAAGGCGCGGCCCCTGCCCTGTGCCATACACACGTGTATCCATGTCAGCATAAGGCGCGCCTCAGAGGGGAATATTAAATTAAAAATATGATTTTTCGGGGAAAACACCCTGGGAATAGAACCCCAAATGTTTTCTTCCAATGATAAAACTACCTCTTACCGTCGCACGGATCACCAAATAGTTGAAAAAGGGTGTAACTGTCTTTCCATATTCAATTATAACGTGGCGCTAAATAAATATCTACATATATTATCTTACTTCAGCTTATTGCCCTTTAAAAGTATGGAAAAAAGGTGACAAATCGTCATCGTCGGAGGCATGATGACATCTGAACGGA